GAAGTACAGAGAGCATAAGTAACTCAATAACTATGAGGCCAACCGATCCAAACTCTTTGTAACATAAAATTAATTTTTAACTTTGGGAAAATTCATGAAATATTAATAATATTCAAAAGGAGTCAGTTGAAGATGTGATTTTCATATATATACCTTTCACGAAACTTGTATTGTCTTTTATCCCATGATTACATGTTGGGTAATAGTGCCATCTGCTGTTCTCAGCATATTATTGCTTCCCATTTAGAAATTGACATGTTTGTAATCTACAAATGGCATACAGATTAAAATTGTGTCTTGTCAAAAAAAAGTTTCCACTAGACCTTGTCATCTTTATTAACCACCCTATTTACATACTATTTGATAATATTTTAAAAGAAAATTCCATAAGTTTGTCAGGTGAAACTGTCAAATATAACTTGAAGTAGCTGGTGATATAACATTTTTGTAATATATCATCAACAGTAACTAGCAAAATATCTGATTTTAACTCTTCATCACAAAATGATCTCCCATGTAGTGAATTAGTATTGATTTTTCGAGTCTGTAATGACTTAGCTTTGGGACTCCTTTTTTTTTTTTTAATTTTACGATGACATATGTACCCTTTTACTGACATCTTACAACCAATCTATGAAAGTCATTTTATTTACTAATAATATATCTTTCAAAAAGCATCAAGTGCTAATAGGTTTCCTTCATGTTTACCCTGTTAATATTTTAAAACATCCTATAATTTTGATTGTCCTGGTTACTTTGTCCCTTCTCATTATTTTTACCTCATGGCTGATGAATACAAGTTAGTTTATATGCTAGACATGAATGCCAAGCATATAGAAACAACTAGTTTTAATTCACATTTTCCCCAGTCTTAAAATTGTTACAGAATTTTTAAATGACAAACTGGCATGTAAAACTTAAGAACCTACATTTAAAACAATTCACTATATATTATTGATGTTTTTTTCTTCTTCCCAAAGTGACAGTGTTATAGTCAAGACATGTATTTGTAGACGTCGATCTTAGAATTTTGAGTGAAAAAATTGTAAATAATTTTTATCCCTGTTGTTTTCAGGCAGTATGGAGCTGAGCTACTTGTAAGACTGAAAATGTAACTCTCCCATAAATCTTTCAAATCTTAATTTAAATATTACTCTCCTACTCTTTAATTTAAATATCACACTCTGTAAACATCACCAGTAAAATGGCTCCCATGGTGAGAGGTAAAAGCTGTGTTGTTTGGTTTCTTATTCTGAGACAGGCAAACTGGCTTTGCCCTATCTGCCCTGTCACCTTGTTAGTCCTGAAGTGATCTTTGAAGAAACACAGGATAATGTTATGTTTTTCTCTAATCTTTCCCCTTCCTTCCTTTACAGTTTCTCCAGTGCTATTTTGTTAGGCTTTCTGGCCCTTGGGTCAGCTTCTATGGTAACAATTTTATATGTATTAGGAGCTAGTTGAATGTCCATATTTAAAGCAACAGAAACTACAAGCTTTAGACATCAAGGGCTGTTTGTGAGCTCACCTCTGACTTTTAACACTAATGATGTATTTTGTAAATACAAATGAGAGACTATGTTAGAGAAGAAATCCAAAGGGTCGAACAGTTGATACATAAGAGACATCATCCTGAAGTCAGAAATATTCCCTTCTGCTTGGGAATTAATGACTGTGAAATAATAGATTAATTAAGACCTATACAAACAAATGTGCTTTCATGTTAACAGTGAAGATTAGGTCATGTGGAATGCTGCCCATTATGATTTTTTTCTGCTACATTAACAGTATTGTACATGTAACTAATAAAAATATTCACTGGTATGAGATGTGTTAATAAATTAGCTGGGTTAGGAATCTTCTGTCGTTTTACATACCCAGTTAGTACGTGGCATCATTAAAATCCACAAGAGCTTTTTTCTAAAGCACATGAAACTATTTGCTCTTCCATGACACTTTGACTATGCTTGCTTGTATGTACGAAAATGTTTTTCCAAAGGTGGTAGGTAATGTTGGCTTTGGCAGCTCTTCTAAACATTCCATGCTTGACTTCTCCCATGAGAAAAGACTGGTCACAGATATCAGGGACACATCTTCAGAAACACTGTCTTTCCCCTTAAATAAACTGGAGACTATATAATTTAATTTGTGATTGGCCAAAACTTGAAACAAAGATTTTTCATAAAATGCTAATTTTTACTGAACTTATTAACCAGATTTATTTGCATGCTCTATAACATTTAACCCTTTCAGCTTAGATCTGCTGTAATGTAAAAACTGCATTAATGCAAATGGCTCTACCTTCTTGTCAAGGCAGTTAGTAAGTTGTTTCTTAGATAGTAAATTGAGTTATTATCATAAAATCTAAGATCCCAACAGTTTTAGATGCCTTAGGTGAGTATATAGTGGCTCATAATTCAGCTGTGTATGTATTCATATCAGCTATAAGCCAGGGTTGACACAGTGAGAGTATGAACCATAATGTTGCATTTTTCCTGCCCAGCTAATGTGAAAAAAATACGAAAATATGAATGACACCTGCACGTACCTATTTATTAAAGTACTAATTGTAAAAGCAAATGTTAACTACACAAATGACCACCTATTATTGATGGGGGGGGAAAGCTATCATAAAACCATAAAATAGATTACAAAGAGCTGTAAAACAGAATAAGGAAGTCTCTATACTGCCATGAAGTGATAATACAGTGAAAGACGCCATGTACAAAGGAATGTGTACCATGCTGATTATATAGGAAGAAGAGAATCCATGTACTTATATTTTCAGAAATAAACACTTGAAGGATAAAAACCCAAGCCTAATAAAAATGGTTACCTATGTACTGGAGAGAGACTAAGAAAATGAGATAGGAAAGGAAACAGAAAGTTTTGTCTTTAGAACCATATTTAAGTGTTTATGCAATTAAAAAACAAATAGTAATCCCCAAGACAATAAAACAAAGTTAAGACCTAAAAATCAAACATGATCTGAAACAAATGAACCTAACTATATTGAAGCTGGTAGCATAATCACATAGAGAATTATTTCAAGTGACTTTAGAGTACAGTGTTTTGACAGTTCATCAGTGGAATAAATCCTAAAATCAAAAAGAACCATAAAGAAATGTTAAACTGCATTAATTCAGCTTGTAAATAGTAATGTTTGTCTTATTATTTTGAAACATACATACTAAGCTAACATATTAGGAAAGCAAATACTTTTGGTTGTATCATTAAGGCCTAAGATTTTTAAAGTTAGAGAAAAGGTATACAAAAGTGTGTATGTGTGTGTGTATATATATATATATATATATTATATGAATTCATATTAATTTTTCTCTTTTAAAAAGATTTATTTCCTATCCTATCTACTGAAAAAAACTGAGAAGTTATAACAATCCAGGAACAATGAACATTCCTAGTTCCCAAATTGTTGTCTTCAAATATCATTCCACTGAAAGGAGTCTGAGCCCTTTGGAGGAATGGTTAATTTCAGATCTAGGACAGAAACTGTAGCCTGGTGCACCTTGTCATGCCTTAACTCTAAGGAATCACATCCAAAGGATGCAGGAGCCAACTTGAAGAGGCTGCCACTACCCAGGGATAGAATAATTTGAGCATGAAAATATGAAAATAACTGCCGTGGACTGAAATATGTCAAATATAACAATATCCATGAACTCATAAGGGTCACCTTTAATGACCCTAAAAACCAAAATGATTTTTTTAAAAGGGAAAGAATTAAACATTTATTCTACCTTTTTTATACAGGCTATATTTCACAGTCACCAAATGTTGATGAGGAAATGTCTTCATTATAGAGGAATCAGAGCTAATAAATGCAGGAAGAATAATAGAGTTGGAAAAAAATCACCATTTTGCAACATCTAATGAAATAATGGATCTAAACAGCAAACATTAACATCTGGTGAAACCATTAAGTTAAAGGTTGAAAAAGAACTTTATAACAGGGTCAGGCTGACATCACCTTGGGCCCCCATCAATCTTAATGACAGTGTAAGTGGGAGAATCACATCTGATATGATGTCATAGGAGTTACACAGCACCACCTCTGATGTATTCTTGACCCCAAAAAATTGAACCTGAATCTTACCCAACCTCTAGATAGAACTCCTGGTTTACGCAAAATACAAAGAATAGAGGAACATGGTAAATAACAACACAAGAATAAAATAAGCCAAATTCAGAATGTAGAAAAATTCAAAGGATAAATGATCTTTTTCAATAAATAAAGGACAGTGAAAAGGTGGGATGGTGGGCCATAAGCAATTAAAAGGGATTTAAGATACTTATCAACCAAGTGTAATATGTGGACCTTGTTTGGATCCTGTTTGAAACAAACTGCTGTAAAAAGACTTCTTTTTGGACAATCAGTGAAAATTAAGCATAGACTTGTATAGGAAGGATCTTAAGGAATTATTGATAATATTGTTGGATGTGAAGATGATTTTATAGTTATGTTGTTTGGGTTTTCTTTTTCTTAAGCCCTTCTGAGATGCCTACTAAAATATTCAGGGATAACATGGCATGATGTATGGGATTTACTTTTAAATATTCCAAATCCACCCCCCAAAAATGAATTGGGGGTGGATAGACTGAGAATAACAACATTAATGATTATAGAAGCTGGGTGGTGAGTGCAGATGGACTCATTTTGCTCTTCTTCCTTTTATATGTATTTCCATAATACTTTTTTTTAGGCCCTCCCACCAGATTAGCCCAGATTAATTTAGATCGTTTATAGTAGTGCTTTCTCAGCAGCACTGTAGGTTTTACATGAGTCTTAATGTGTAGGATGTAATATTGGTAAATCTCTGGGGGGAAAAGTTTCTTATTATAACTATAATGTCTTCTCTTTTTTCATCCAGTGGAATTTCATAAGTTGTATAATTACATCATAGAAAGAAGGAACATGGCTTAGACATAGCATTGTTAACAAGCTTACACACCAAAACACACTGACATTATATTCTCTTTTTCAGACCAAGCCACCCTGGTAGAACAAGTAAAAAGAGTAAAAGAAATTGAAGCCATTGAAAGTGATTCTTTTGTTCAGCAGACGTTCAGATCCAGTAAAGAAGTCAAAAAGGTAAGTTTCCATCCAGGAAATAAGCCTTTAGATGCCCACTGAAGAGATGTTTCATTTATGGGTTTTGATTAAATATAAGTGCTTCTTCTAATAGATGAAGTAGGGTGCAAGTGTGTCAGCATATTAAGAGAGATTGAATCAGTTCAAGTTTAACATGTAAAAAAAAGTAGTGTAAAAATGTATCTGATGCCATTTTTATTTTAAAATTCACTGAGAAGATAAAGTAAAATGTCAACCTGACAGTTTCATAACAGTAATGTGCATTTCATGAACATAGACAATTTTCTTTTTGAATGTATACATCTACTTTTTTAATTACATTAAGTTAGAAAAGAGCTTTGACAGTAAAATTACTACCTAAATAGTAACATATATCTACAGTCTTTACCCAGATGGGTATCATTTATTCAACTCTAATACAAGGAGTTGATTGCCATTTTATTTCTGTTGAATATTTCAGGTATTCTTTCATTATCAGGGGTCCTTTTATAAATGTATGTTCCTTTAGTAGGAAAAAAGCATTCTACTATAAAATACATACATATAATGAAGACATGGTAAAGTTACCACTTACTCAAAAATATTCTACATCTGGAAATGTGTTAATGACCATGTGGTATCCTGCTGATGAATGTATCATAATTAATTAATTTTTTCCCTGATATTAGATATTTAAGTAGTTTAAGTTTATAGGTATTACATAGATATTTGCAAATATCCATTATTATCACCTTAAGATAAACTTTTGAAGATGGAGTTGTTTAAGGTTCATATTATTTATTTTCCTTCAAGGTGCTACCAATTAAAATTCTACCCAGAAGTTCCCCTTATTTTCTCCAAGTCTCCATGCTCACCAGTAAGACTGACCTCTTGCTGAGTAACATAGAAATTCTTTAGATACCTGGTTCTACTTTAAAAGTCATTTGAAATGTAACAATATCTATTTCAATTCCAGAATTAGTGATATTTTCACCTCATTGTATTCTCTAGAAAAATTTTAAAAACTATTTCCCTAAAGGTTACTAATCTTAAGATAACTGACAAAATCTGGGAGAAAAACTCTTTTTCCCAAATCTGTAACAAAACCCTGTATGGTTAAATGGCTTCCCATGGGATCAATATCAAAAGACTTTTGGTCAAAGGGACCACATTATTTTCTTAATAATTAATTTCTGTTTGCTTCATTTTTAGTGCTGAGTTGGAATTTGTTTCAAGCTTCAGGATAGCTTTCCTTGTTCTTCCAATGCAGACCCCACCATCAGGGACTGAGACGACTGAGATGGAAACGGGGCCTCTCCCATTCATAAGGAGCCCTCATTAGTCTGTCTGAGAGAAGCCCGTCTAATGCTTCAGCTATCTTTTAAACGAGGTTTCCCATAACAGTAATTCATAGAAAGGAATAAAATCAATTCTGGGAAGCCTAAAACAAATAATTTTAGGTTGGATAAGTATGACAAAGAAGCAAAAGCAGCCTAGAAATATTATTAACCTAGCACTGTGAGTTAAGCCACTTAGAAATATATTCAGTTAAAATATTTTAACAACATTTCTATTTCTTTCCTCCAAAATCAAAACCAAATTACAATGTGTCTTGGGTTTAGTACCTGCTAAACCTGCGCAGGCTCTACCTTAATGCTGAGTTCTGTAATTGCCTGCAGCTTCCTTCAGAGGAGTTGGAGATACAGGGCTTCCCATTTGGGTTGAGCCAAGGATTGTTTTATATAGTTTTTTATATTCTCGTCATTTGAGGCTTGGTGACCTATTGTATTTCTCAGAGAGCAAATAGCTAAAAATTTCTTCTCAGCTTCACACAGTAACTTACTGGTTTCATGTACAGCTTTGGGCCACTTTGTTTCAAAATAGTCACTTGAACACTAAAACACTAAACAGATGCTGTGAAACAAGGTGTGTGGACCCCACTTTTTTTCTTTTTTAAGTAGCTTAAAATAACTAAAATAATAGTGGCTACCATTAATACTAGACATTTGACATATGTAATGTATCTAATATCCCAATAACCCTTACTTATAACTAAGGAAGCTGAGATGCAGCAAATTTCATAGCCTGGGGTCAAATGCTAATAAATGACAAGAAGCAGCATCCACACCAAATGTACCCAATTCCAGAGCCCATGTTTTCCAATTAATCTACTGTCCCTAATAATTGTGAACTCAATGCACATTCCCTACTGAAATATAAAGAAAGCATGCATTGAAAGGTAGGAGGTGGTACCCATAGGGAACTGTGCCTCAGAAAATGGCATTTACCCTGGTGAGTGCAGTAGACTGAACTAGTAGCCATCCAGCACTGGGCTTTTATTGGTCACTGCATTTCAAACGATCAGAAAGAAGAGCGGAGACTGGCCAACAATGAATTAATTCACACTCACCCATAGTATAAAAAAAGGCCAGTATATTAGTTTAGAAATTGATATCCCTTTCTAGTTTCTAAAATGTCTGTGTCTGCAGTATAAGGTAGGGATTCAGGATGCCCAAGAAGCTGAATTATTTATCAGGAGATTACTTAGCAAAGGGAGGTAAATTATCTTGAGGACCATTTCATCCAGATCATGGGGAGAGGTGATGGGCTATCCCTAATGCAAAGCAAACACTCTCTTCAGGACTAAATTAATTACCCATGACCCATGTTTCAACATCTTTCTCTCCTGGACTGTTCTACACACATTGGTGTAAAGTTTGTGTCTCTGAAAAAGGCTTTTCTATACTAGCTACCCCTTCAGTTGGTAGAGTCTTTCTCTAGCTGTGTTAATTCCATTAATTAAGTTAAGGAGCTGTTACCAGAAAAGTGGCTATTACCAATGACATGCTAGACATTATTTCTCCTGCCACACATATTGATTTAGCTAGTTTATCTCTGCAATTATACTTCTTTTGCCTGAGTAGATAATCTCATAGCTCCTGCTAAACCTCAGGACCCAAGATGCAGCTTGTTTTTTCAAACAAGATAAGCTTATTATGTATTGTTCAACCCTAAAATTATTCTAATCTGGCAGATATCTGCCTGTGTTCAAAAAAGTGGGTAAATAACACTAAGCCAAATGATTTGTTTTTACTTTAAAATACATTTAAAACAAACTTTTCCAAACCGAACCACCAGGTGGCAGTGCTACTCAAAACCATTATGTTCGGTAGCGACTTGTTGAGGATTTTCTTATAGTCAAATTTTCTCTAACAGTTTTCCTCACTTTGGTAAGCAGTTAATGGTTCTTCTCGCACATTTTTTAAGTACCCATTATTAAATACTAACATCCATGCTCCGATCCTAAACTCCTAAGCTCTGAGAACTTTATATGTGTATGAGCACTTCTCAAAGAAAACGTTAAATACTAGGAAGGTAAAAATAGAATAGGATTACTTGGTTTTATGATAGACTGTTCTCTCTGCCACCGGAACATGTGCGGTCTACATCTTTGACAACTAAAATAACAGTACTCCACAATTTTTCAAGGCAGTTCAACACAAGACAGCCAGTCTGTTAAGGATAGCTAGGCCCTGTCAAAGCATAGCTGAAATGTGCAGAATAACATGCTGTGATAATCTCTGCATGGCAACAGAGACTACCAAAAAGTGATGTCCTGGACCTCATTGAATTAGTTCCGTATGCAGAATATTATGCTTTGCTGTTATATGTCCTCAGTTTTATTAAGCATCAGTATAGTATCACTTAGGCCTGTAAGCCTTCTAGGCCCAGTATGTGGGAGACATAGAAATGTTTGAGACCTAAAGGGCAAGTATTGGCTCCAAAATAAAAGATGAAAACTGCCAAATCAAGTTTACAAATATTTCTTTAATATCTCTATGTCACAAGTGACATATTTGTGATTATGTATTTATTTTGATATTCATTTGCTAGTAATCTGTCAATCCCATTAGCAGAATGTAATCTCCAGTTGAGACGGTAGCACATCCATTTATTCTCTCTTGTGTATCCATTGCTTAGCAGTTAGTAGTACTCAGTAACTACTGGTTAAACACATAAATTTTCAATTCTAAGGTAAATTATTCTAAGAAAAGATTAACTAATTCATGCACATTTCATTTTCTAGATGTTTTTCCCAGTGACTTCTGTTTTTGCAGTTTAGAGAAGTAGATAAGTCAAAAGATATTGGAAATCAAAAAACTACAGGTGTAAAACCAAAAACTATAGGTATAGAAAGACTAAGCAGTAAAATTAATCTCCCAAAATTTTTTTTATTTTAATTTTTAATTTCAGTGTCTCATCTAATCAGTTTCATATTACCCCTGCAACCTTGTTGCTAATCAGGGAAGAGATATTGAAATTGGCCTGAGTGCTGGCTCCTTCCAGGCAAGAACAATGGGTTATTAGTCTTCTTGTTTCCAGCATTCAGTACAGTGCCTGGTGCATAATATTCCATGCCATGGAATATTATTTAGCAATAAAAAAGAATAAAGTACTGATACATGCTGTAACATGGATGCACCTTGAAAGCATTTGCTAAATGAAAGAAGCCAATCACAAAAAATACATATTATGTGATTCCTTTTATATGAAATGTGCCAAATAGGCAAATCCATAGAGACAGAAAGTAGATTTGGGGAGAAATGGGGGAGCAGTAACTGTTAGTAGGTGTAGGATTTTGGGGGAGGATGAAAAAATTTTCTGGAGTTGCTTGTGGTGATAGCTACAAAACTGTGGACGAACTAAAGGCAGTATGAATTGTGATATGTGAATTATATCTCAGTAAGGCTGTTATTAAAAAAATAATAATAATAAACTTTGAATTTGCTTGTTATACCTAAAGATATCAACTAGCTGCTGGAGATTTGTTGCAAACTTCTTTTGATTAATAAAATTTAGATTCATGAAATATTTTTTTCAATCGTATAGACTCATAAGTACCAATTTCCTAAGAAAAATATGCTGATCATAAGAAACGATAAACATTTCCCCAATGTTTTTATATTTGTTTGCTTGTTTTAGGACTAATTGTTTCTTATTAGTTACCTAGGGCCTTTTGGTAATTAGTGTCATCTCAAAGAAGACTAAATGAGCAATTATTATTCAAAATCAGAAACATTATTAAAATTCTAATTTTATATTGTGACCCAATTAATTGTACATGCTTTATGTTTCAGTCAGTGGAACCTACTGAAGTGAAGCATACAACTGCAGCTTCAGGACAAGCATCAGTAGCTGCTGATACACCCACTAATGAAAAGGAAATAGACCCTAGCATTATCCCTACGACCATCAAGTACCAAGATGATAATTCTCTGGCGCATCCAAATGTAAGATCCTTCAGCCCTAAGAATGTCAATTGAAGTCTCGTTGACTAAAATTAATTCAAACTCTCGTCCTTTGGTGCTGGCAATAAGACCACTGGAGGAAATGGATTCATTTGTTTCTATTTACCAAAAATAGGCAGCCAACCCCTAGCCCTAGAATTATTACATGTATTTGAATCTGGAATGGTCCAGCTTATGTTGCCTAGCTTCTAGAAGTATCCTTTCTATGGTAAACAAACTAGACAAAAGAAGAGTTTTGTTTTGTTTTTAATCTGGCCTAAAAGGTCTATTACTGGCTCAGCTCTCACTGGTTTATTGACAGTGAGCGTGTCACTACCATATTTGCTGTCCTCTATGATATGATATCATCCCACTGTGTTATTCAGAAAACTGTAGGAAATAAACTTCACAAAGTAAGCTGTAAAATTATTAACCAATGACATTGATATTAGTCCTTGTACTCCAAGACTTTCTGAGCATTTTTAATTCCAAATATGATCTTCAATTAAGAAGTCATCACGAGTTAAACAGTATTAAAATTGTACTAGAAGATATATTCTATAAAGGTGATTTGTATCAAGTAAGGTCAGATCTAAGTTATTAGCAAACAATAACTTTTTTTTCTCTTCTCTTTCAGTTATTTATTGAGAAAGCTGATGCTGAGGAAAAGTGGTTCAAAAGATTAATTGCTCTCCGACAAGAAAGGCTAATGGGCAGTCCTGTGGCCTAATTAATATACATATAGTTGAATTAATAGTAACATTGGAAGTTAAGGTTTTTAAGTCCCAATAATAACTTTTTACTTTTAAAAAGAATTAAGTTAATTATATAAAAAGGTTATCTCATTTCATTCTTTCCTCGGGTAGGATTGAATATTTGTTGATTTGAATTTATTCAAACATTGTGAATATTAAAACTAGTGTAAGTTTTAAGAATGCGTGCAAATGTCATACTGTTAATAAAGCTAATCCTAAAAATATCAGCGTTAAAATAAATGGTATACATTAGTGTTTCTGAGTCAAAATATCAAGTTGTCACTTATAGACACAATTCAATTAATCATAGATGTATAAGAATCAAACTATATGCTATACATATGAGATTTCATCTTCCATATATTATGAAAACATTTTTGAATCTTTTATATTACCTTGTTGCAAAATTTTAGGCACAATAAAGAGCACGCTAAACAATCTAAGCAGAATGAGCATGTTAATCTTAGAATAACATTTATTGAAAAAATTTTTGAAAATTAAATAAATTGATGATTTATTGCTTAGAGATCACCTTTAACTAGGTGCTCCTTTGAAACACATTAGCAGATCCCAGCTCATTCTCTAAGAAATCATGTGTTCATGCTACACCTAGTTGGTCTATGATAGAGAAATCATTTCTGAGAAAATTGGTAAGAGCCCTCACTTCAGTCTTACTTTTAAGAACTGCTATTTCCTGTAGAGAAAGCCAGCTAATTGTAATTTTGATAAGACTATCTGGCAATGTAGATTGCCTTTCTGTAGTAGCTAAATGAACAACAACAATGCATTCCATACTGAACATGCCAGAGCTAAAAAACTTTCAGGCCTTGCCTTACAAACTAGTTTTCAATAGTTAACATGAATATTTCACCTTTTTATTTTGTTCTGTTATTTGATCTCATTCTAATTTAGTCTCTGTGAAGACTATACCTCAGAACACAAGATAAGCATTAAAGTTCTTGGGATACGATTACCATCTATAGGACATGTTAATGCCATCTTTTTTAAAATTCTGAAACTACTAAAATTCTAATCCCTGTTAAAAATGAAAAATATAAAGAACTTACCCTCAACTGAAAAAGGTATAGAAAATAGACTGATGACAGAATACTTGTTTTCATATAAACATGTTTTCACATTCTAAATAGGTATGAGTTTTCTTCATTTTTTCTTTGCTATAAGTGAAAGTGCCCAGCATGAACTCAGTTTATGTGGTTTTTAATATAGAAATACAAATTTTTAATGGCTCAAAAAAGGGGTTCCCATTTCTGAAATATTTTTATTTAATTCTTTATGTAACTTGTGAACAATAAAAATACTGTCATCCTTTTGGAAAGTATATTTTAGTGATCTAGGTAAGAATATGGTTTGTCATTTGGGCCACTAGTGATTCTCTAGAGAACCCAGCATTTTTTTCTCCATATGCCCAATGTTCCTCATCTACAAAATAGGAAAATATTATGATCTACTTTAATCAATCTAATTTAAATACCAGTGTTCCTCTGTGGCTAGTAGCCCAAGTACAGAAGCATACACTTCAATAGATTTGTATTTTAAAGCTAAATTTTTCGTAAAGATAGAGAATCAAGTTATTTTTTTAATTAACTAAACTTTAGTCCCAGCAGGAATTCAATGACTATTCCCCTCTCTCCTGATATCCAGTAAGATTCATTTTAATGTATTATTAACTTTGTTTGCCTTCATTCCTATTGAAGACTGCAATATTACCACACATGCCAAATCAAGTTTAATGAGAAAGACTTCATAGAACACTATCAAACATATCAGCAAACTCAAGCTAGGTGATGCATCTGGCCTTCTTTAATATCTTAATGTAATGAGTCTATAAAACAAAACAATCCCTTTCATGTCACTTGATTAATAATTACAATTTAGACTTACATGAGAACCTCAAAATATTTTTTGAAGAGTTGATTCTGTACAAAATGATAAGTTTTGTGCATAATGATTATTATTAGTAATAATACAGATTGGGTTTTCATTTCTGAATTGAGTGCCTTTTTAGGGAAAATGGGATAAGAACATTTTCTTAGTACTCCCTAATAATGAGGAGGTATGTACCTAAGGATATGAGGACAGAACACTCTGAGTCATTCACCAGCTTTGCTTCAGTATCCTAGTATGTGAAATGAGGATATTAATAGTGGACCTGTCTACTTTGATTTTTTAGTAAAATAACATTTTTTAAAAAGTCCTTCATAAAGACAGATGCACCCCTATGTTTATCACTGCACTATTTACATTAGCCAAGATATGGAAGCAACCTAAATGTCCATCAGTAGATGAATGGGTAAAGAAGATGTGGTACATATACACAATGGAATATTACTCAGCAATAAGAAAAAAGCAGATCCTACCATTTGCAACAACATGGATGGTGCTAGAGGGTATTATGCTCAGTGAAATAAGCCATGCGGAGAAAGACAAGTACCAAATTATTTCACTCATATGTGGAGTATAAGAACAAAGGAAAACTGAAGGAACAAAACAGCAGCAGAATCACAGAACCCAAGAATGGACTAATAGTTACCAAAGGGACAGGGACTGGGGAGGATGAGTGGGAAGGGAGGGATAAGGGTGGGGAAAAAGAAAGGGGGCATTACGATTAGCATGTATATTGCGTGGGTGGCACAGGGAGGGCTGTCCAACACAGAGAAGACAAGTAGTGATTTTACAGCATCTTACTATGCTGATGAACAGTGACTGTGAAGGGGTATGTGGGGGGGACTTGGTGAAGGGGGGAGCCTAGGAAACACAATGTTCTTCATGTAATTGTAGATTAATGATACCAAAAAAAAAAAAAAGTCCTTCATAGAAAAATGTACATTTATGCCAAGGTAACATTTTGGCATGGTAGCAATATTAATGAAATATGGAACCGTAGTTGTATGGGTAATGAGCTAAAAAGCTACACACCCAACTTCAGTGTGTGCTTTAACTGCATGACCAGTAGTCCCCATCCCAGGCTTGTCCCCAGCTTATCTGGATCTCTTTCCCTGCCAAAACCACAAGAAACCCTATTTGTTCTCAGTTAGTGACCTACTATCTATTTACTTGATGAATCTCAGTTCTTCCTCAAGATTTACCACTTATTCATTAACATTATTTTCAATACCTAGTTTGTACTGGACACAGTAAGGGCAATCAGGTATACACAGATGAAATTGGTGGGGATCCTACCCTCAAGAGGCTTAGTTATGGAGCCCAGACATTTATATGCTATAAGAGATATAATACTTTGTGGCAGCAGAGAGGATATGGTTGCAAGGAAGAGAGAAATTGCTTCAAATTAGAAATTTAAGGAAGAGAGAAATTGCTTCAAATTAGAAATTTAAGGAAGACTTCATGGAAGAAATCACAACTGAACAAAAAAACTTGAAGGATAAAGCTCCTGGAGCCATTGGAACTCACAGCCATCCGCTTCCATCTTCCTGATAGCTGCTCTAGAAGGCTGGGACTGGTGCATTCTAACCCAGGAAAGAGTCCCTCTAATAAAAGACCCAAGTTATCTCTGCCCAATCTTACTAAAAATCCAGGCAAAATTTTAGGCTCCTGGTCACCCTCTGCTATCTCTGACCATTTCTTCCTTTTGGTGATGAATCAGCTGAATAAACCAAGCTTTCATTTGGCCACTAGCATCAATAGTCTTGTATCACCAGTGCCTGTCAGTCAAGATGGCATGAGCTAAGTAAGACATGGAATGGTACGAAAAGAAGACTTCCAGTACCTCTAAGAACTGCGTTTGCCAGTAAGGCCTTGAACAATCATGTGGACCACTATGTGTTCATTATACTCTTTGTTTTTCCACCTGTACTGTTATAGAAAGCATTGTTTTATAACTAAAAGACAGTTGACTTGCGTGTGGTAGGTCTCTCTCCAAATTTTCCTTTTCTTTGGGCATCAAGTGGAAATCTTTAAGTGAGCAAAAAGTAACAAAAGAAACAAGATGTGGGACATTTTTGCTCACTAAACTATGGGTGGGTTGACCTGGAATTCTTGCACCCATGTTACTCCTGCCTTCCCTCTTTCCCTGCCCCAAAATTTTTTATCACAGAAGAGATTTTAAGCCAGTTCTTGGCCACTGCTCAATTGATACAGTGCTTGAATTATCTAGAAAATATTTAAATGACATCCTTTAAATATAAGTCTTACTCTTTGGAACTCCTTTATGGAAAATAATGGAAAAACAGGTCAGCTTGATAAGAAAATGAGTCTTTCCAGCAGAAAAGAAAAAAAAAATGGAGGTAAGAAAGAACACTATCAATTTCTAATCATCTTCACCTTTTATTGTAGGAATGGATGCTGATCAATATATTCAGCTGTATTTGGTGGTTCTTTCTAAAAGAAAATTCATGTATTTCCAAGTGTTTTTGCTGTCATAGTATCCCCAGAATCTAGTCCATGCCTGACACAAAGAAGGCTTTCAGATATTTTTCAAAAAGAAGAATGAATGGGTATATAGCAAAAAAAAAAAATGAAAGCAGGGTCTCAAAGGGATATTTGTACACTCATGCTCATAGCAGCATTGTTTGCAGTAGCTAAAACATGAAAGCAACCCGTGTGTGCATGGATGGATGAATGGGTAAGCAAAATGTGATATATACATACAATGGAATATTATTCAGCCTTAAAGAGGATGGAAATTATGTAATATTTTACAACATGTATGAATCTTGAGGACATTGTGCTAAGTGAAATAATCCAATCATAAAAAGACAAATTGAATGATTCCATTTATGTGAGGTACTTAGAGTAGTCAAATCATAAAGACCAAAAGTATTGTGGTTGTTGCCAGGGGCTAGGGGGAGGGGCAATGGGGAATTATTGTTTAATGGATACAGAGTTTTAGTTTTACAGGGTGGTCATGGGGATAGATGGTGGTGATGGTTGCACAACATCATGAATGTATTTAATACCACTGAATCATACACTTAAACATGGGTAAGATGGTAATTGTTATGTGTACTTTACCATGATAAAAGTATATTAAATTTTTTAAATAAATAGATGAGTTTTATAACAAAATAAGTTTGGCTTCTCTGATATTTCCAAATGTCTCTGAGCTGACAAAGGCGTTTGGCTGAAATGGGCAAGTACAGAGTACCAGTGCCTTCTCTCTTCATAAGGGACTAACAGTGGAGCTAGAGTCTAAGCAAGGATCCTCCTAGTCCTGTTCTTACCCAGAGTTTCTTTCTGGTCTAAT